AAAAAAAAAAAAAAAAAACGATATAAGACAGTGAATACCTTTCGCAGTTACCAAACATTTTATTACAGCTGCAAATATTTATATAGAGGAGGTATTATAAAAAGACAAATGCTCTTTGGTCGTTGGCCACATTCTTGTTTAATCTTTCTTTCCATTTAGCAGCAGTTGTTTGGTTTATTTGGGTCAATCCTTCCTCAGTTTTTTTTAACCTTATCTTGGCCGTTTTCCTTTCATTTGACTAAAACAGTGAAACCAATGTTAGTGGCCTATCAACTGTATAAGAAGGAAACATTTCCGTTTTAGACAAAATACAGATGAGAAGAAAATGTGACATCTGTTGCATTCGACCAATTAATCTTCCAGTTAACTGCTAAAAACCTACTAAGTTGTTGTTTCAATTATCCTAACACTATTTTTCTTTTACTCTGAAAGAAAATAACAATCAGAAGAGGACAAAAAAATAAGGCAAGAATTAACCTTTGTTCGGTCAAAAATTTTAGCTGTTTTTTTTTGTTAAAATTACAGTATTATTGTCAGCGGTACAATTCAGCAACAAATTTTTGATACAGTCACTAAAAATTCAGATTAGACAGTAACCAATGTTTGACAGTACCGGTAGAAATCTGTTGTAAACTGTTAGTTATTTTTCAGTTACTGTTTTATTTGTAAAATAGTAATGAATTCAGCTATCAGTCATTTGTATGCTGCTTATTTTTCATCTGCTCTTTGTTCAACTAGACAAAACATCAAGGTCAGAGTTTTGACTAACAACTTATTAATTTAAAATAATTTGATAAATTTTAATGTTATTTTTGAAATTTTGTTGAAAACAAAAATAAAAACATCAAAACAAACAACCATATAAACAAAGATCAAACATACAATTGAATATTTTTACATTAATTGTACAATATAACTTTAGTTTTCTTTAATGTACAGTAAAACAAAGTTTAAAAACAGAGCTGATAAACGTGCAAAAAAAACATGAAAGATGGCATTTATACCAACTTTTATTCGTTATTTGGTTAATCAATCAAAATGAAGTCAAAAAAAGTATTGTTAAAAATCATCAATTTGTAAACATTTATTTACATACCAGTAACACCATAAAATCGGTCATAAACTAATACGAAGCGTGACAAACAGGTTTA